ACCCGACTTTGTGGCTTCCTTGAACCTTAAGCGAGGTTTTCCTTCGCCAACCGAACATCACTTTTGCAGAATCCAAGCTTGTTCGACCACACACGCTACCTGTGCATGCATGTTCAATCTTCTGCGACACAACCGTCGTGCCTCTACACCAAGCCAAGTCATTTAGCTCGACATTACCTCTACTCGGGGCCAAGGTCTCTCAATGTAACACCATTTCCCATCATCTCATCTTGGTTCACAATTAACATGGCCCTCATGCTTTGATGCCATCCCAAGTCACGGGATGTCGTTGACCATAACAGCTCACTCGGTCATGCCATCGAGAATGCGCCCACACGTCATTCATAATCTCGAGACATCCTGAAAATCCATCCATTCAGGTTCAGTCGAGGCATTGGCCTTCTTGTGTCCATGCTAAACCCTTTATGGAATACGTACCAAATAGTAGAAGCAAAATCCAACCAACGACACTTGGGCTAGGGTGCAATACCAGGACACTCGTGCTGCCTAGTATTGTCTTTGAAAAATTCATTTCAAAGGAAGTCGCCCAAGACACTCGTCCTAAAACACTCACCCTCACTGTGACACACATGTCATATGGTAGCTCGTTTAGGCCACAGGGCTCAGAGGTGGTGGAGAGCTGACACCCCCTTATAATACAATTTTGCATCATGTAGACAAGTACTAAAACTAATGCTTTGTACTTGTGGGGTCTCATGTATGTATATAATTCATATACGCGTGAAGAACGATATATTTTTGTTCTCCTCTTTCTATTACTCATTGAGGTCCCTATTTTAGTATAGGGTTGGTGTATATGAAAGTGATACCCCATATGTACGAAAGTAATGCACACCCAACAAGACCTAAAGATTAAAGATTATGAACGACATGGTGGGTTTCCTATGTACAAAAGTTGTGCAAACATAAAAGAAGTGTAAGCCCAAACCATTATTTTAGGTCCTCGTAGGAATGAATGTCATGATTCTATCTTCTCATGTATCAACATTTTCAAACTCCAACATATGGGTCACTTACTAGACATTAGTAATACTCAACCATTTCCGAGCATAAACATCTTACGCGATTGCGGTGGTTGCCACACAAGCCATGGGTAGTCATGTTAGAGTTAATTTTCACACTAGTTTCTCCTTTGTATTTGAACTAACTTTGAGATTTATACTTTCAAACGTGAATTTTAGGATTTTTATATGGATAATCTTGTATCGAAACAATAAATTGTCTCGATATCATCATTTACAAAACAATAATTACCTCTCGCACAATTCAACGTTCGATAGTTTTTTTCTTTCTCGAACTAAATGATATTATTTATACATAAAAGTGAGATACAAGTGTATGGTGGGATGAGAGGTTTAGGGTTTGGTGGGCAAGAAATTGGAGACATAAAGGGGGCAATATGATTAAAAGGTAGGAGAGAGAGAGGGGGGAGCCCTATCAAAATGAGCAAAAGAAAGTCCAAAAAACACATCCATACAATGAGTTGAAGCCAAGTTTTTATGGGGTTTGAAAGAAAGGAACTCTTTCCTCCTCCTTTTGCCTTTCTTTTCTTTCTTTTCACATCTCCCATATGTCTTGTGATGAACAAAAAGGTAAGGCCCTCCCTTATTATGTCATTGTTCCAATGGCCTTCCAAAAGAGACAAATGCAACATATAAATCTAGGGAGAGAGCTTAACTTTTTGAATAGGGATCTTCTTATCTATTTTCATCGTAATCTTAAGCCTATCGTGAACAAATATTATCCATTTTAGCTCGTTACCTGTCGCTGTCAATCTCACGATTTTAAAACGTGTTTGCTAGTGAGAGGTTTTCATATCCTTATAAAGAATGTTTCGTTTCCCCTCCAACCCAAGTAAGATCTCACAAAAATAACCCAATTTTGTATTTATCTCGAAAATACCTTTTAAACTTTTAACAAAACGTTTTAACAATACATTTTTCATTTGTTTTCGGATAGAAACTGTTAATATTTTGATTCAGAAATACCCTTGGACTTTCAATAATGTTCCAAAAATACCCTTCACTTTAAAATGTTTCATCAATATTCTTTAAAGTTAAAAAATCCTCCGATTATTAGTATCATATTTAAAAAATACCTATGAAATTTTGAAAATAACTTTACACCCTTAACCCTCGTAAAAAAAAGTTCAAACCTCATAGATTATTTTCAAACTTTTTTAAAAAAACTCTAAAAAATTTTAGGAAATTAATGTTACTTTTGAAAGTTCATGAGTATTTTTTAAACGTAGTTCTAACGATTCGGTTTAAATAAAAGTATTTTTGGACTTTATAAAAAAGTTTAAAGATTACTAATCAAATGTTAAAAATGTTTTTTTTAAACAAAATATTAATAATTTTGGATGCTTTTTTTAAATTTTAAAACTCAATAATATTTTTTTTAAATAAAATACAAAAATAAGATAATTTTTATTAATATATAAAATATTGGTGTTATAAATGAGAAACTTTTATGAGTTGTAACAGAATATTTATTGCTATCCACAAAAAATGATAATAATAAAATAATAGTAATAATAATATATAATAATAAAAAATAAATTAAAAAATAATAATAATGAAAGGTCCACACACAATTGCCCCATTTCTTAAGTCAAAGCAAAAAATAAAATACTCCATTTTTATCTTTCTTTCTACCTATGTTCTTCATCATGTCTCTATGTCTTAAATAATGCCTCACTTATTTTCTTCTCGTTCTCAAAAATAATACCTTTTTAACCCACTCGTTCAAATCTGATAGGGTGGAGGTGGGAACGAACAATTCATTATCAAGTGTGGAAATCTCTTTCTAGTAGACGTATTTTAAAATCGTGAGGGTGACTGTGATATGTAATGAGTCAAAGTGAATGATATCTGTTAGCAATGGGGTCAATATTTGCTAGCGACGAGCGTGTGAAAAACTACCTCTCCTTAATAGATATGTTTTAAAAACATGAGCTTGATGACGATACGTAACGGACGAAAACGGACAATATGTACTAGCAGTGGGGAGGTATGGAAACCTCGAACTAAAGAAAATAATATTTGCTAGCGGTGGAGTGTCGAAACCTACCTTTGTCTAGTAGATATATTTTAAAATTGTGAAATTGACGACGATATGTAACGGGCAAAAACGGACAATATGTGCTAGCGGTGGGGAGGTATGGAAATCTCGAGTCAAAGAAAACAATATATGCTTGCGGCGTGGTGTGGAAACCTACCTTTCTCTAGTAGATACATTTTAAAACTATGAGACTGACGACGATACATAACGGGCAAAAACGGACAATATGTGCTAGCGGTAGGGAGGTATGAAAACCTCGAGTCAAAGAAAACAATATCTGCTAGCGGCGGGGTGTGGAAACCTACCTTTCTCTAGTAGATACATTTTAAAACTGTGAGACTGACGACAATACGTAACTAGTAAAAACTGACAATATGTGCTAGCAGTGAGGAGGTATGGAAACCTTGAGCTAAAGAAAATAATATCTGCTAGCGGCGGAGTGTAGAAACCTACCCTTCTCTAGTAGATATATTTTAAAACTGTGAAACTGACGACGATACGTAACGGACAGAAACGGACAATATGTGCTAGTGGTAGGGAGGTATGGAAACCTCCAGCTAAAGAAAACAATATTTGCTAGCGGCGGGGTGTGGAAACCTACCTTTCTCTAATAGATACATTTTAAAACTGTGAGACTGACGACAATATGTAACGGGTCAAAAAAGAATGGTACTTAAAAGAACGGCTTCAATGGCAGGAGTGAGAAGGAAGATTCCTTAAGAGAAATGGTGTAGGGCCAATGATCCTACAAATATTTATAATGTGTTATCCTAAGGGTCCATTTCCATGCCTACATGTGATGCTCCCTCTACCCTTCATCCCTTCTCTCTCCTCTCTCATTATTTACTTTCTACCCTCTCTCGACACCGTAAACCGACTCATTCAATACCTATTATCCTGTCTCTTTCTTGTTCGGTGACCTCAACGGTTAACATATCAATACCTTTACATCTTACATACTTGAGATTAGAATCAATCGAGATAATAACGTTATTTTTCAAGTACGTATCTTACTGACCTGAAATGTTCAACAAATTTATTATTCGAAAAGCTTCAAAACTCATTCAGTTTGTGACACGGTCAAGATATCAATGACTTGACATTTTACTACCCGAATATTTGTGACGTTTTTTTTTAGGTACATCCCCAATTATTTATTTATACTTTTTGCCACCACCTTTCACAATTTTGATAGTTTTTTAATTAACTAAACATTAGGGGTTTGCATGCAAGGTGTCATATCTTTTAATTTATTTTTAATGAAATAATAAATACAATATTTTTCATTATTATTTTTCTCTATAAACTTTCATATAACATTAATTATGGTAATTGGCTTCATTAAATAATAGCCATAATAATATTAATATTATAAAAGTAATAATATTTATTTTCATTTTTTTTATTATTAATAATATGTAAATATTTTTTTTTTTACATTTAATTCATTTTTTTTAATTGAAAAGAGTTATGAGATTATTAATTATAAAATGACCCCTCAAATTATACATATTTCATTAATATTTATTTTTTCACATTTAAGTCATTTTTGTCCACTTATTTTTAAAAATTTCAATTTTATTTTTATTAATTTCAATGGTCCCTACCATTTATCAATGTTATGAAATTGCTGGCCACCTCACCATCAAATTCATTTTTATTTTTATTTCATAATTAATTTTTTTTTTTAAATAAATTTACACAAATATTAAAAAAAAAATTATAAGGGTCAACTTTAGCCTCATATATATATATATATATATATATATATAATATTATTGACAATTTTTTAAAAAAATTACTTGAACTTTATTAAATTTTTTAGGCCAAAAAAAATAAATAAATTATTAAAATGGAAAAACATATAACTCTCGCCGAACTCTATTCTACAATTTCTCAATCACCCCCCCCCCCCCCCCCCCCCCNCCCCCCCCCCCATTGTGAGTGTGTGTATGAACAACAAAAACCCGACAACCCGTCTCGGCTCGACCCTTACTCGAGTTTTCCTAAAACCACAGTATGTTTTGTCTTCACTCACTCAGCAGTACTCACCGAAGTTGGTTTGCTAGCCACAATCTCATAGTTCCCACCACCCTCGTCCTCTTCCTCTTCCTCTTCATCATCATCATCTTTATCGTCGCGATCCATCGGTTCGCTTTCCATCTCTTCGTTGCCCGAGTCTGGTCGGGTGATCTCTTGCTGCGGTGGCCATTGTTGTTCGGGCTGAACCATCAACGGAATCATCGTCGAAGAACCGATGTTTTCGAGCTCGAGCTTCCTGTTGTTGTTGTTGTTGTTGTTTCCGCCGCCCTTTTCCCTATACAATGCATCGAGCTGGTGAAAATAAGGGCATGTCTTGGAATCCTCTGGCCTTGTTTTTCTTGTTTCCTTCACTTTCTTGAAGTATTTGTTTATGTTTTCCCATTTCTCTTTGCATCTCTTTGCATTTCTATTGTAACCTATTTTCTTCATGGCTGATGATATCTCTTCCCATAATGGCCCTTTTGGTACATTCTCTTGATATTTGGCTTCAAGATTTGTTCTTAATTTGATCAATGCTTCTACTTCCACTTTTGGCCATCTTGATGAGCTTGAAGCTGGACTCATAGTGTAATTCTCCCCACCATTATGATCCATTTTCATAATCTCCATTTTTTGTGGAAGAACTACTTGCAATGTCGATGAAGGTGGCGGTGGTGGTGGCGGTTGTACGACCGGTGTCGGATTTGACATGGGTATTGGTTGTTGTTGTGGTGGAGGCGGTGGCGGTGGCGTTCGTGACAAATTGTTGTTGTTGTTGCTGTTGTTGTTTTGGGATTCGGTTATTTTTTGGAGGAAGGAAGTAATGGCGGCGTCTTTAGCAGCCGCCATTGATCTTTCATGAGCTAAAATCTCTCTTTCTCTATTGATTTTAGCCATTTCTTGAATTCTCCAAGCTTCTTCTCTAACAATTCTCTCTTGTTCCCTTTTCTCAATAGCTTCCAAGAATCTCTTTTGCATTTCCACTTGTTTTTGAATCACTTCCTTCATTAATTTCTCAAAAAACTCCTTCCATTTCCTCTTCTTCGTCCTCCTCCTCGGTGTCTCGGATGATGTCGATGAATCATCGACATCATCTGACGTCGAATTCGAGATGAGATCCGCTTCAAGAAACCCAACGGGGACGGATGAGGTGGTAAGGTTATTGAACGGAGCGGGACGAGGAGGAGATGGGAGGTGAATTGTGGGATTTGGTTGAGAGAAGGATATGTTCATCAAGTGGGGTAGGGTGGTGGTGGATNGAACAGTGGGAATGACGGTGGTTGACGGCGGCGGCGGCGGCGGCGGTGGATTGAAATTAAAAGGTGGGTGATTCTCAAGAGCTTCTAATTGTTCAAAAAATTTGTAAGTTTTGCTATCTGGTTTCCCACTACGAACTTCTCTTGTTCTTTTATGGTATTTGTAAACATTCTCAAATTTCTCTTTGCATTTCTTTGCACTTCGATGATATCCAAGCTCCCCTAATTTCCTGATTAAAAATCCAAAAAAAAAAAAAAAAAAACCCACAAGAGATAAAAATCAAAACTTTCATACAAAAAAAGGAAAAAAACATCAAATTGCATGTCGAAAAGCAATGATTGAGCTAAAAAAACGAAGAAATTAATGATATTTTCTTGTGAAAATTACAATTTTTTCTCAATTTTTAAGAAAATCTCCTTGAATTTCAGTGCCACTGAATTGGGTTTCCAGTTTAATTAAAGATTCCCAAGAACAAAAAAAAAAAAAAAAAAAAAAAAAAAAACACACAGATGAACTGACAACGATTGAACTGCCGACAGTGAAACCCAGATCTTGGAAGAGAATTAAAATCGAAAATTTTCAAAAAATAAAAATAAAAATTGAAGCTTTTTTTTTTTTTTTTTTTAATTTTTAAATTTTGATTTGGTACCTGGAAACTTGTTCCCACAAAGGGCCTTTAACGCTTGCATCTCGAAAAGCCACGTCCATATCGGAGCGAATTTTCAGGAGNGCTAAGGTTTCTTGTCTCGGCCACCGGTTTCCGCCGAAGCTCCGGTCACCGTCGTCTCCTCCTCCGCTTCTCCGTCTCTCCTCTTCACCAGAATTGTTATTAATCTCCTCCGCCGCCGCTACACCCCCGCCGTCACCCATGTCTCCGATTACCTCATCATGGCAATGATTCGTCTCCGGTACGGCGGCGCCACCGCCCAAGACGGAAGTAGTGGAGTCACCAAGCATAGAGAGAATAATAACAAGGCTAATTGGGAGGACGCTCCTCCTTACCAAATTACAGCACAAAACAAACCAAGGACCAAAAATAAATTAAAATAAATACACACAACAAATATTTTTTTTTTAAATTCAAAAAAAAAAAAAAAAAAAAAAGAAAGGGTTTTCTGGGAATATAATTAAAAATTTTATTTTTTATTTATTTCTTTCTTTTAGCTGGTGGAATCTTTATTCTTTAATGGGTTATTTTTTAAAAAATAANTATAATAAAAACCTGCCACCTGGGGTTTCTCTATTTTATTTTATTTATTTATTTATTTATATTTTTTTTTTTTTTTGGGTTCTCTCAGTAATAATAAAAAGTGGCACAGAAAGTTATATAGAAATGGAAAATAATTTTAAAAAATAGAGAAAAAAAGGGGTTTTTAATTTAATTTAGTAAAAATATTATAAATATTACAGAGATTTTTGAACAGCTTGCACATACAGACAATAATGATAATAAGTTGGTTTTTGTCTGTCCAGCTAGATTTAGCTAAAAGCCGGCCCATATAACCTCACTTTTATTTATTTATTTATTTTTTAATAAAATAAAATAAAATAAAATAAAATAATTTGTTTATCTTTATTTAAATAATTACAATTAATGAGAATTAATGCTCTGGAAATAAATAATTTAATTTTTTTAGGAAAAAAAATGGAGGGTTTCTTTTTTGGCAAGTTGGATGTGAAATGACAAAACTACCCCTCACATGGATCCCATTGACCTTTAATCATTGAGAGGCTAATTTATTAAAAGAGTATTATTTTATTTTTAGATCGGCAGATTAGTGATCTGTGACTGTCTGAGTAATTTCAGTATTTTTATACTTTAGGGTAATATTTTCATTGACCAAAATGCCCTCGGTCGAGTTTTGAATTTACTTTCATATTTTTTAATTATTTAATTAGAAAAAAAAAAAAATACTCGCTTGCTTTCAGTTTTCAACTTGTTGGGTGTGGGGCTGTGGTTCTCTACATCCGGGCCTACGGAGGGGCCTACTCTGATTGGGACAAATGGTAGTTTGACAAGATTTTGATTTCTTTCTATAATTCCTATTATTTTATGAAATAATATAATTAATTTTATTTTTTATTTTTTACACAAATAATTAATTGTGGGATCCACGGTGGATTTAAGCTAGTTAGATGCATGTCAATGTTTTTAGGCCAAGCCATTTATGAGTAGAAGAAGTAAATGGGTGGCCATTTTTGTTACTAGACTCGGTTAGGTCACGCTAGGTTATTCTCGTTATATAATCGGTCGGTAAAAACATGTGTGAGTCTTTGGATAGCGAGGTTATTTTCAGCACGTGTAACCCTTCATAGAAAATAAGTAATTTTTTATTTGTTAGGTCATTTTCGTTACAATGAACTCGAGAGAACTGTTCATGTAATACAAAAGTATGATTTGTCTGATGTCTTTTTTTTTTATTATTTTTTTTTTTTTTTTATGTTTGTTTTGTATGGCGTGATAAGAACAAATGGATAGCACCAGTACATCATGTTTGGTTGAGAGTGTAAATGTGAGATATCGCGTAGGTTGGAGATGAGAATGAAACCTTCTTTATAAGGGTATGAAAATCTCTCTCTAGCATACACGTTTTAAAATCTTGAGGGGAATTTCGGAAGAGAAGCACAAAAAAGACAAGATATGCTAGCGATGGGCTTAAGATGTTATAACTGGTATCAGAGCCAAACATCGGGCAATGTGTCATCGAGGAGGTTGAGCCTAGAAAGAGAGTGGACATTAATTGGTGTGTCAGCGGGTAGATTGTGAGATCCTACTATGTGGAAACATCTCCCTTCCGTACCAGACGGTTTTTAAAACCTTGATGAAAAATGCAGAAAGAAAAACTTAAACATGACAATATAGTGGGCTTGGACGGTTATTTTGATCCAAATTTTTAAAAACTATATAATTTATTTTTTAAAAATAATAATAAATAAAAGTAAAATATATATTAAATATCTAAAAATAAATGCAAATACACTAAAATTTAACTCTTTTTTTTTTTAATGTTATTTAACAAATGAGTGTATAAATGACGTGTAGCCCTACAATTTTAGGGTATGACAAGTATATATAAATTTTGTCTTTCTTTTTAAAAAAAAAAAATAATTAATTTGTTAATTACAATTTTGTCCCTCTCAAATAAATGTAGTTTTAATTTGAAAATGACTATAGCTATAAAGTGATAAGGTTGTTGAAAAATATTAAGCCAATTTGTCAATTTTATTATTTTTAGAGTTTTTATATTAATTTATAGTTTTTTTTTTTAATATAAAGTTTTAGAGAAAGTATTTTATTCTGGATCTTATCTCTATTCTAATAATAATAATAATAATAATAATAATAATAATAATAATAGTCTATTTACTAATAAATATATCAACCTATTTTTATGATTGATGTAACTATTAAAAAAAGACATTTAAATTTAATACGGAAATTAAAATAAATATTTTACTTATTCACGTATTTGAAGAGTTATAATTTTAATTATTTTAAATGACAATTTAATTTTTTTTTCTTTCCTTTTAAATATGCATTATTAAATTATTTTAATTATCATTACTTTATTTTCTTTAAAAAAAATAAAATTTAGTCCAACTTCGAGAAAATTTTAATTTAAAAAAAAATAACTAAAAGATGTTGACTTTGATTTTTTTTTTTTTTTTAAATAGTAAGTTATAAAATAAAGAAATAGAGTAATAAATAAGTTTAATTTATTTATTAAAAAAATCTAGAATTTCAACCATATATGTTTGGGTTGAAGAGATTTCGATTTTGTTCCATATTAAAAATTATTAAATTAACCAAGAATTTTTATTTTCGAAAAAAAAATTAAAATGTGAATAGAGTTGACTTGCATTATATGTTTATGTCATGATTTAAAGTTATGAGAATTTCATGTATTTTTGTATGTCACGTGCATTGGAATACTTCTTTCTAATGATGAGTATAGATGCGTATATTACGATATCTATGTACGTCGTGATATTATGTGGGCTCCTTCCTTCGTGGCTTCAGTAGCATGAGTGTATCCCAACTGAAGGGCAAGCCCATGGGTTACGTATATGCGTGCCTGGTGGATCCATGTGTACGTATGTAGGTTATGTGTAGAGAAGTGTTACACATCCAATTTTTGCTCAAATTGGAAACAGAGTTTTTATGAAAAAATAGGTCCCACCATGATTACTTGTATATGCATTTTTTGATCCCAACAGTGTAGTTACTTACTTGACTATTTCTTAAAATAGTCTGGTCATATGTTATTCTTATTTTTTCAGGTAAAAATAAGACACATTTTGTATAGATGACAATGTCACAGTGGAGGCCAAGGGATCAAAGCTAGGATAGTTGCATTTATATTTAAATTGTAGCCCTTGGATGAGACAAGGGCGTGTTTGTTACTTTGACTCTTTTATGCTTTTGTTTTGGCTATTTTCTTGATGGTTACTTTTTATTTAAAATAGATTTTGCAAACGTTTAAGTCTATGACATTGTTTACAAAATATTTTTAATGAATTTTACACGCATATTAGACGTGTCATGCATGCAATGACGACCTTGTTTTTACTAGAAACAATAGAAATGTTACTGTTAATATGAGAGCTCTAGTGTTGAGGATTGTTGGGAGGGAATCCCACGTGGCTAATTTAAGGAATGATTATGAGTTTATAAGTAAAAAATACATCTACATTGGTATGAGGTCTTTTGGGGAAGCCCAAAGAAAAGTCATGAGAGGTTATGCTCAAAGTGGATAATACCATACCACTGTGGAGGGTCGTGATTTCTAACATGGAGGCTACTATGGATATCGAGAGTGGTAGTGTCAAAGGAAAATTTTGTCACTATGAAGTATGTAACTATGGGCTTACTGATTGCTCGTGAAATGTATACAGTAAAATGTTTGGTATAACTCTCCAAAGCTAGCACCATGAAAGTTCAAGCATTCTATACCCAAACAAATTTGTAATTTTCATGAGTGTCTTTAATGAAAGTTGAATTTCGGAAGTAACGTGAAAGTTTTAAAGGTGTCACAACGATAATTAAAGTTTTTCAGGCTTGTGTGGAGGTGGATTGTGGTACGAGATGTCCAAAATATGACTTAAAGTTATGAAACCCAGTATCGAGATTTAGCACAGTGGGAGATACATGGTGATGAGAGTGTAGAAATAGTTTCCAAGTCAACTAGTTATTGTACCTTCGATAATTTCTTCAAACTACTACGTAAATATGTTTCAACAGAATAGTATGATCAATTTTAATCAAGTTGGTGAATGTCAGACCACCTCTAAAAAGAACCAACCATGATATTTTGCTAATTTGACCCTCTTTCAGACCGATTCTCTTAAAAAAAAAAAAATACTTTAAGGGTTTTACGCAAGAAAATTGGGAGAAATTTGGATATTGAAAGCTTGAGAACTGAAGATCCAAACGACAACAAGCACGTAAGTAGCCAATCTATATTTTTCTCGATTTTTACTGGTAACGAATTGCTTGAAAATCTCAATAAACCATAACTTAAATTTTGCTTAAGAAACGAAAGTTAAAGACCTAAACTGAACAATTTGCTCAAGTAACCCACTAAATGGACTTCGCTGCTTATAAAACTTAATTAGAAGGCTTGATATAAGATTATAAGGTTATGCATAAAACATGGTGCTTATTGGATTATTTTAAGGGGTTAAACCAACGATAGGTGTAAAATGACCAAAATGCCCATATAGGTACGTTCCTCTATTTTGTGACCCAAGTGATCTCTCGATGGCATGCAATTTTAAATGTTTTAAAGGAATTATACAAGATCTCACGGTGATTAGAGCATGTTTGGAGTATGAACTAAGAGAAAAATGACGAAACTACCCTTAAAGACCCTTTATAAGAAATCAAGGTTTTTATGAATATCAAACGACAAGATACTTATGAAAGATTTATGCATGTGAAAAAATGTATATGACTTATATGGATTAGGGCTTACCTGTTAAAACATTTTCCTTGGTTGTGCCTTAAGACTTAACCAATGACTCTTAAA